CCTGAACCACCCAGCCTGGGTCTCTTTATGTCTTTAATTCTTTTTGAACCTAGCGCAGTGGCTGCTATTTATTTTATTGTGTTTTGGAAGAGTAACTTCTTTCAGAAAGTCACATAATCTGATTATATTCTCTTGGTATGGTCAGATGTTTCTCAGTTTCTTGTATTTGTGTAATCTGATGATTTCTGTATGGCTGGTGAAGGCAGAGTGACAAAATTCAACCTAGGGCAGTGATGCGGATTCTTTTTATAGCTTGCATGCCGGTAAGTTCACCACCACTGACCTATGGTTATTCTTAGGAAACTTGTAAACTGGTGGAAGAGACTAATATGAAACCAAGAGAATAAATGAATTAGTACAGATTAATGAGGGTCTGGAAGTAGAAGGTAGTATTATTTTTTCTATCTTTAAATGGGAGGAGTGTAGGTCAAAAAAGAGAAGAAGTGGTGGAAGTTAGCCATGAGGAAATTGGAGTAGGAGATGGTGGAAGCTTTCTGGGAATTGGCCAGTTGCCTTTGGAGGGACAGAGAGGGAAGTTCATCATTGATTACCCTTGGGTGATGCTTGAATCATTTGTAGTTTGTGAAAGAAGTTGAGCGAAGAATTTCCTCTTCCACTTATAACTGGCAAAACAACTAATTGATGTTTATTGAAATGATGTAAATCAAGAGAAGAGAGGGTAAAGCATGGATTTCAGTTTTTATGGATAGAAAATTAACTTGAATTAGAATCCTTGCTAGGAATTGAGGAATAATTTCACCATGACTAGTAATGTTTGTTCTCCAAAGAGAGTGAGGAATTTTCTGGCAAGGCCCTTTTTTGTGGCTTTTGTATATGTGGAGATGTTTGATTTTGCTTGCTATTTGAGATATTTGTCAGGGAAGAGATTTCCAGAGGTTTTGTTTTGTTTTTACTTTGAAGGAAACAATTTGTGGTGATAGCCGTGGAGTTTATGATAAATGTAGAGACAGAACCAGGACATTGTTAGCTAAGGTGACTGCTTGATGTTTGACGAAGTCTGTTGTTTGGGTCCCATCTTTTATTAGGGACATCCTGGCTGATGGAAAGCAGCAGTGTTCCATTAAGCTCTATTATGTATGATGTGAAGAGGGGCCCTCTGAGTAGCTTAAACACTGCCATTGTTGTTCACTCAGTTAACCCTAATTTAGGTAGTCAGGAAGTCTAGGATATGCCCATATCTTGTACTCTGAGTAATTACTTTGAAGATAACAATATGCAATGTAGTAACTATTGTTATTCTCCTTTTTTTTTTTTTTTTTTTGAGACAGGGTCTTATTGTGTAGTTTAGGCAGGCCTTGATCTCACTATGTAGCCTAAGCTAGCCTTTAACTCGTGGCAGTCCTCCTGCCTCAGCCTCCCAGGTGCTGGGATTACAAGTGTGTATCACAACATCTAGCTCCTATTATTTTGTTTTGAAGTTTTGTTTTATTCTTTTTCCATTAAAAAAAAGAAGTCTAGAATAGGGGCCATCTTCTCTAGCTGGCTTTTATCAAGACTGAGGACAGAGGAAGCCACCCCTACCTGCACATGGAATATACCAAAATTGAACTATATTGTTTTTTTGGGGGGCGGGGGGAGGGTTTGGTTTTTCTCCGGTACCAGGAACCGAACTCACGACCTTGCGCTTGCCAGGCAGGCGCTTCACTGCTGAGCTAAATCCCCAGCCCCCTATATTCTGTCTTAAGGAGGCCTTAGCAGCCTACAAAGCTTGGGTGTTATTTCGTTGACCCACAGCATAATGTGCTGCTGGGTAGGAAGGAAGGTCACAGCCTGAGAGTCTATGAGAGCTTCTATTCCCAGGAAATCCTAGTAGATATTGTTAAGAACATGTTTCCAAAGATTGTGTATGATGACAAATCCGTTGGATGTCCCTTTAGCAGTAGAAGCAAAATGCAGGTGAAAGGCTGTTCAACAAGGCACTGAGTAGACCATGTGAGCCAATTTGCATGTGAATTGAATCTTATTCCATATTTTAGTACGATTGTGTCTGAGGCCTTAATAAATGGGATCACCACACTTACGATTAGTAATCCAGCACAAGGTATCTTTTATTTTATCGGATTTTAGATTTTAAGAGGCAAAGTTAGGGTGACAAAATGGAGAATCAATAGAGGCAGTCACTCTTGAATTAGGCTTTATGTAAGTTTTTTTTATTTTAAAAATTTAAAAACTGTCAAAACACCAATGAAGACAAAATCAAAACAACACAAATACATCAAAAAGGATACATGACCTCAAAACAAAATGATAGGAATTTACAATGGTTGCTATATTACATAGTTATCTTCAATGAAGTTGCACAGTCCACTAGAAATAAGAATGTAAGATTATCAAAGACAGTATCAAGTAAAAATAAATAAATAAACAAATAAAACATTGGAAATAGTGCAGAGCTTCACTGTACAAGATGGTAGGAGTTCAACAGTGGTTCTTATACTCCATATTGTTTTCAGATCGGTCATTCTGATTACCAAATCTTTGCAGCCCTGTTTGAAGTTACTCTGGGACAGATGAACTATTTCAACTGGGGACCCATTGGTCCAATTTTATCAAGTAAATTTCTAAGTGTTAAAGTCTTTCTTTAATTTCATCATTTTTTATGTTAGACTGTGGGATGTTTTAGGAAAAAGGATACTATAATTATTGGAAATGCAAGCAAAGCTACGGTTAAAGTGACACATACCTATTTTTATTCTATATTTTATTACCCTTTCAAGATTAGCTTGAGCCTGAAATTAATCCTGTGCTGCTTTGTTGATTGGTTCAAAATGAAATAACCTAATTCTTATTTCCCACTCTGTGTCTCACTTAGGCCTGTAGAGCACTGGGTACAGTGGAGGCGGCAACATAGAGATAGCAGACCTGAGCCGCACTGTTTTTGTTAAGGCAACATGTTCTACCTTTTTAGATTGGGAAATCAGAAACCTCCCTGGAAACTGTCCTTCAGTCATTGGGCAGTCAGAATGCCAGTTTCTCACACTCTGGTGACCCTCTCATTGGCCCAGTGTCTACCTTATGCCTTTTCTCTGGCTGATAAGTCAGTCACCCTGAGCAGTTCTGAACACAACCATCTCACTTTGACCCCGGTTCCCTTTGGGGAGCATAGCTGCCTTGGCTGGGGTTGTCCAGGAGCTGCCTGATTTGGGAAGCTGCCTGATTTGATATTTTAGCAACACCTACCAAAGCCCCAGGCAGCAGTGCAGAGTGTGCAGACAAGCCCAGCCACCAGGGGGGCTGTCCCAGTGGTGCTGGCCGTGAGGAGGGCCAGGGGAAGCCAAGTGTTTTCTATTTTTTTTTTTTTTTTTAAATTTTAAAGGAAGCCAAGTGTTTTCTGAATGCATTCTGTGTCCCTCATGTGTCTTACTACACACTCCACTCCTTATACCAGCTATATCACCTTGTGGTTTGGCCTAATGGTCTCTGTTCAGAGAGTGACTGTATATTCTAGCCCCACCCAGACAGGAACAAGAGTTACATTCTGATGTGTTGGTCAGTGGAGACAGCATGATAAACACATAAGAGAACAGAGACATTTTATTACTCACATGTAAGGTAGGAGGCAAGCCCCTAGGGCCAGTGGAAAGTCTGGACAAAGCAAGATGCTCATCTTCGGGCAGAGAATGAGTGAGAGAGGCAAGTGTTTAGGGTATTTCCTTTAGTGACACCTATGGGCCTCATCCCTCAGGCTTTTCCACTGGGGCTGTGGAGTGGCTAGTACAAAGAAAATAGGTACAAAGGAGAGAAATGTCTTCAGTGACTCTGGTGTTGATCTAGTTATATTGTCCTTAGGTTTTGTGTCAGCTGGTCCTCTATCAAACAGCCGCACAGGGAAGGGAAGGTTTTACTAGACCATAGGTGACAGGGTATGACTGAGTTTCACATAGTTTATGTGAAGCCTATAAAGAGATCCCAAAGAGGTAACTGTATTAAACAAATGTATGCCTCACCTTTCTGAATGCAGCTTAGAGTGATGTTAATCTAACATAAAACATGGTATTGTGTTCCACAGCAGTTATTGAAGTGAAACTGGAGCTGAGGTTAATTGGTAACTGACACAGTCTACTTTTCGGCTGTTCATCATCCATATGTGCCCTTCTGCACATATTTGAATTTCTTCGTAATAATTAAATCTGTGTTACAATTGAAGAAGATAAAAAGGTTCTCACCCTTTCCCCAATGCGAGCAGACGCATACTCCCACTACTGGTAGTCATTGTACTGCCATATCAGGCCATAGTAATTACTCTTTCAGCATAGTTATAATCTCAGTGAATATTTTGTTACTGGAAACCAAAATTATGTATTTAATCTCTAGTGATATATAGTATGTAAAAGTAAGGAGATAGGAGGTGTGTGTGTGTGTGTATAAGGAAATTATACAAAACTTTTTTTTGAGACAAGGTCTTCCTGTGTAGTCCAGGCTAGTTTTGAACTCACTGTTTAGCCCAGCTGGGCCTTGAATGTGCAGGAATCCTCCTGCCTCAGCCTCCTAAGTACTGGGATCATAGACATGCACCATGCTTGGCCCATAAAAATGTACAAAACGTTTACATTTCTTACTACTGTGATTATTCTTTGAGGTTATAATGGATTATTTGTGACTTATTTCCTCAACAATTGTTTCTCTTTTTCTTTTGCTGTCTGCTATTCTGTGTTCATGTATCTGTTTAAGTGACTCAAAACTACACTCCCCAAAGGTCTATTCTTCCATTATCCTACCTTTTTCAATTTTTCAATTAACTTTTTATGTGCAGCAGAGAGGTACTATTTGGAAGTTCTAGACTTCATCTTTCTTGCCTCAAGTACTGCTGGGAGCCACTGGAGCTGGATATTGGTCATATGTGTGAGGACAGGGCAGAGCCAAAGTGCCTGAGGCAGTCAAGCTACCTCAGTATTGAAAAAGGCATCTTGCCTGGACAATTACAGTCATTTGTTGCTAGGCAACATTATCTCTCCTCTGATACTAACTTTGTAAGTGTATAAAATAAATGCCCCTATTGTCTCTTGTCTTTATTTTCTAAATCCTCTCCCAGTTTACCACTGAGTCCCACATAGTACTGATGGGTTTCTTCTCTCATTATAATTCCTTTAGAGTCGCTGTGGCACCACCTACTGGAGGCTATGTGCCATGGCCAATATGGCACTGGCCACTACAGGCCATGTGCTAAGCCCCACCCTTCTTCATCTGAGTTGAATTACGACTTCCTACTCCCCTTTATAGTGTCCTGTTTCATTTTCCCACACTCCCATCCAATGCTGGCATGCCACGTCAGCTGGTCCACCCCCTAAGCCCTGTCTCCAGCCTGGTCATATTTAACCATCGTTCTCCCAGCCAGGCCCCTCAGAAGCTCCATGACCTCCTTATTCCTCCCATCTGTGGTTTTCTTGGTGCCTGCAATAAAGGCATTTTATTGTTTTATTACTTTCTACTCCCTCCGAAATCTATCATTTATGGTGACTCAGACGGTGGGGGGTGTGAGGCCTCATGAAGGGAAGGGACTTTCCCTCCCTTGGCTTGAGGCTCCCCCCTCCTGGCCAACGAGCCCTTTTTCCTTTGTCTGGATATTTACTGTTGCCAGCCTGCATCCAATACCGGCTTGCTCCAGTTCTCACAGGTGAGCTTCCTTCCATTCTGGGAGTTCCTGTTTCAGTTTCTTCCTTTGCTAGAAATCGTAGGCCTATGTCAGAACTCCCTTCCAGGACTACTGTGTCCTTTCCATTCTACAGAACACCCTTCTTCTGCCTTCTCAGTGATGACTGGGAGGGTAGATTTGGGCATTTTCTCCTCTCTCACATCTCAGAAGGGGTGACGACCCTTTCAGGGATCTCAAGACCAGCTGCTTCAGCCTCCAGATTGCCTTTGATTTGGTCATAAAATGGGAAATGCTAATTCCCACCCTCCAAAACATACTCCTCTCAGTTGTCTCCTGTCCAATTTAAATGCTTTGGGACTCAGAGACACCCTTAGACCAAAACAATTGATCTTTTATTGCCAGACAGCCTGGCCTCATTACAAACTAGAGAATGAGAGCCAGTGGCCTTAAGATGGCACTTTTGATCTTAATATTCTCAGAGATCTAGGCAATTTCTGCTTTTGCAACCATAAATGGAAGGAATTACCATATGTTCATGCCTTTATTGCTCTTAGGGTGAGTTCTCCCCTTCAGGCATGTGGGACTACTCAAATTTGCTTGGCCCATTCCACACCACCAGAATCCTCTCCTAAAACCTCTCCTAACCCTCTTGATGATGTTCCTCCTGCCTTCACTCCCCCTCCACCATATCTTCAGTCTCTACAAGCTGACTCTTTACCCTCTTCCTCCAAACCTGATCCTAATCAGCCAGATGACCAAACCTCCTCACCCCAGCCAACTCAGCCTGCAGCCCAATCCCCTTCTCTCTACCCTTGTTTACCTACTTCTGAGCCTTCTCCATCTCCCAAACCTGCTGTTTGCCTAGCCCCTACTTTCCATACACCATCCTGCCACCCTGCTCTTTCTCCCTCCGCCCCTCCGCCCTCACCCCCGCCCTCAGGCCCATGCACTCTACCACACACTGGGTCTCATTCTCCTCCTCCATAATCAGTGGACCAGTCTCCACCCTCTCCAGACACAATGTCTATCTCATCTCAAGGTTCCTCCTCTCCTTCTTCTTCCCTTCCCCTGTCACCTTCCTCCCCTCTGGCCCACCACACCGGATCTAAGGAGACACATAATAAAAGGTTACAAGATGGTGACCATCAGCCACATAGTCACCAGTGGCCATCTTCTGATCAGCCACATGGTCACCAGTGGCCCTTTTGCTCTAAGTCACATGGTCACCAGTGGCCATCTTGCCATGAGTCACATGATCACCCATGGCCATCTTGCTGCAGGTCGCATCACCACCCTCCACCATCTTGCCCTGACTCCTTGCTGCCCCCCCGACTCCACTCACCCTTCACCACCTCTTATTCATCTCAACCTCAACTTTTATGCCCCCTTCAGGAATAGGCCAGCTCTGAAGGACTAATTCATATCCACATTCCTTTTACCCTCTCTGACCTTTCACAAATCTCTTATAAATTGGAGGCTTTTGCAGCTGATCCACACAGATATATTTTGAAATTAGAGTTTGTCACCAGTTCTTATGATTTACATTATAAAGATCTTTTTACCATTCTCAACTCCACTCTTTCTCCTCAGCAAAGAAAAGAGTTATGGGAAGCAGCTCAGGAGGAGGCTAACATTAAGCACCGAGCTAATCCTGATTATCCTGATGGAGCTGCTGTGGTGCCATTTATGGATCCCTATTGGGACTATGAGGGGTCTTAAGGCTCCCATAAGGTCAAAATAATGATCAGTTGTATTATAGTGGGCCTTAAAAAGATCTCGCATAAGCCTGTTAACTATAATAAACTTGTGGAGCAGACTCAGAGAGACAATAAAAATCCTGCTGAGTTTCTGGCTTATCTCACTGAGACTCTAAGTCAGTTTACTGACATAGATCCACAGTCAAATTCGGGGATAGTACTTGTTAATTCTCACTTTATCTCACAGTTGGCCCCAGATATTCGAGCTAAATTTAAAAAGTCTGAGCTCAGCCCTCAGTCCTCACAGAAAGAACTCTTAACCTTGGTCTTTCGTGTTTTCAGTAACAGAGAGGAACAATGGAAACTAGATAAACAGGCTAGCAGACTGGCAGTTGCTAAGGCAGATGCCCAATATCAACATGAGCTTCTAGTAATGGCACTCGGGGTTCCTAAAGTAGACACGCCTAAACAGGTAGATGCCAAACAAGGCGGTGCCAGCAACAATGCCCGAGCCCCTCCTGGACCATGCTTCAGATACAGCAATGAAGGACACTGGGCATGAGCCTGCCCCAATCCGAGACCACCCAAGAAGCCTTGTCCCATCTGCAACCTCGAGGGCCACTGGAAATGCGACTGCCCTGCCCACCAGAGAGTGGGTAAGTCATCCATCTCCCTACCCTCACAGGACAACCTGTCACCACGGGACTCTGATTGCTGATCTTCCTGGGCATCACCGCTGAAGATTGATGGGGCTCAGGCTCCATGGCCCCCATTAAGGTATCCTACTTGGAGCCCTGAGTCTTGCTGGAAGTCTCAGGTAAGACACTCTCTTGTCTTGTTGACATGGGGACCACATATAGTGTTCTTCCTGAGTTTTTAGGTCAGTGTATTAGATCCAGAGTCTCTATAGTAGGGGTTGATGGCCGACCAAAACAGCCCTAATAAACAGGGCCCACCCCCTGCAGGTTCCAATCTCTTTTTTTCACTCTTAGTTTTTTGGTGATACCAACATGTCCCACACCTCTAGTGTGCAGGGATATCCTCCAAAAGCTTAACTTTACCTTCTCCCTCCCTGCAGCTCTCATTCTCCAAACGCCAGCACCGCACACAGCCAGTCCCGTTTACTTGTAGATCCCAAAGTCTGGGACACTTCCAGCCCTACCCTTCTACCCATGCTGTCCCAGTTCGCATCCATATCAGAGATCTATCAGCCTTTCCTTGCATTCCCCAATACCCAATAGCCCCCAAACATCAATGCGGACTTAAACCCATACTCCAGGGTCTCCTTGCTAATGGCTTTCTTAAAGCCACCCACTCACCCTACAATACTCCTATCCTCCTGGTAATCAAACCCAATGGCACTTATCATTTAGTTCAAGATCTCAGGGTTATTAATAATGTGGTCACACCTTTTCATCCTGTAGTGCCTAGCCCCTACACCATGCTTTCCCATATTCCCCCTTCCACAACTTACTTTATGGTTCTAGACCTCCAAGATGCCTTCTTCACTATGCCCCTGCACCCAGATTGCCAAAACCTCTTTGCCTTTACGTGGACAGACCCAGATACTCTTTGATCTCTATAACTCACGTGGACAGTATTACCTCAGGGATTCAGAGATAGTCCTCACTTCTTTAGTCAAGCCCCTAGCTACAGACCTAGGGGCCCTTAACCTCAAACCCAGCACTCTGCTCCAATACATAGATGACCTCCTTCTCTGTTCCCCTTCCTATGCCATGAACATAGGCATAGAAAGAGAACACACAGCTACTCTCCTCAATTTTTTGTCAAACCAAGGATATAGAGTCTCCCCAGCCAAAGCCCAAATAGCCTCTCCAAAGGTCTAATATTTGGGGCTCACCCTTACTCCCACCACCGGTTCCATTACCACAGATTGTAAGGCTCTCCTTTGTGACCTCCAGGTCCCAACTACAAAACAACAAATCCTCTCTTTCCTTGGTTTAGCAAACTTTTTTTTTGTCTTTGGATTCCTAACTTTGCCTCTCTTGCTCAGCCTCTCTATAAGGCATCCAAAGGCTCCTTGTCTGAACCTCTTGACTCTACCAAACCTATACAAAGCTCTTTCCGTGGGCTACAGGAGGCTCTTTTGAGATCCCTAGCTCTCGCTTTACCTGACCCAACCCAGCCCTTCATTCTGTACACTTCCCCTCAGGGTCATAATACAGTGGGAGTCTTAGGACATAAAAGGGGACCTTCATTCCAGGCAGTGGTATATCTCTCAAAACAGATAACACAGTACAAGGATGTGCTTGCTGTCTTTGGGCTGCAACAGTCATACTGACACAAGAGGCAAAGAAGTTCACCTTAAGACAGTCCATCACAGTACATTCACCACATGACCTTAATGAGCTCATCTTACACAAGACACTTCCGGGTTTAATGACTCCCTTCTGCTTACAGGAAGTTCATCTGATACTCATGCACGACCCTTCCATTACTATAGTTGCTAGTGGACCCCTCAACCCAGCCGCTTTACTCCCCACCCTTGATGAACTTCCACAACATAATTGTGTTGAGGTCTTACAGATGACACCAACTTCCTTTCCTCATATCAGCAGCACTCCTCTCCCCACAGTCTCCAACACATGGTTCATACATGGCAGCTCAACAAACACAGACACTAAGAGGAGAGCAGGATATGCCATTGTTGATGGGTCAACAGTGATAGAGGCAAAACCACTGCCACCGGGGACATCCTCGCAAAAGGCAGAACTCATAGCCCTTACACGTGCACTCACTCTAGCCAAAGATAAGACTATAAATATTTATACTCCAAATACATGTTCAGCATTCTCCATTCTCATGCAACAATTTGGCAAGAAAGGGGATTTATTAATGGTGAGGGCACCCCTATTACCAATGCACCTGTCATCCTCAAACTTTTAGAAGCAGCACAGCTCCCAAAACAAGCAGCTGTCATCCACTGCAGGGGACATCAGACTCCCACAGACTTTGTTGCCCAGGGAAATATATTTGCTGACACACAGGCTAAGTTGTCTGCTCAACAGCTGTATCCTTCCTGTCTTCTCCCCCTTATTCCAAAAGCCATGCCCTTACCTCAGTATTTGCCACAGCAATTACGCTTACTCCAAAAACCTGATTATCATCAAAACACACAAGGATGGATCTACCAGGGGCCCAAACTTCTTCTCCCAGACCAATAGGCACAGACCATCATCACTGACCTACACAACTTCTTCCATGTTGGTACTCGGGCCTTATATAAACTCCTAACTCCCATCACCACACATCCTACCGTGAAGGCCATCACTCGCCAGGTCACTCAAAACTGTCAGCTCTGTGCTAAAACTTCCCCTCAGGGACACTTGCCACCCGCTTCTTTCCCAACTCACCAGCTCTGAGGGAAAACACCAGGTGAAGACTGGCAGGTTGACTTCACACACATGCCCTGCTACAAAACCTATAGGTATCTTCTCACCTTTGTACATTTTCTGGGTAGATAGAGGCATTTCCCAACACACGAGAAACTGCTGATGTAGTTTCCCAGGCCCTTATACAGGACATCATTCCCAGGTTTGGACTACCCCAGACTATCCACTCAGATAATGGTCCAGCATTTATCTCACAGATTACTCAACAGGTCTTTTCTATCCTCAACATTACTTGGTGCTTACACATACCATATTATCCACAATCCTCAGGCAAGGTAGAAAAGGCAAATGGACTTCTAAAGACTCACCTTACCAAGCTAATCTTAAAATTACACCTGCCTTGGCCCAGTTTCTCCCCGTAGCATTAACTAAGCTCAGGGCACTTCCTAGAGCACTCAGTTTCCCGAATCCTTTTGAGCTCATGTATGGTAGGCCATTTTTGCTTCATTACTTCCCAACTCCTGACAGCTTACCCCCTATTGCTGACTATATCCCAATTCTATCTTTCCTTTGATACCTGTTGCATCAACATGCTGACCTCTGTCTTCCACAACAAGTGGATGGCACACAGCCAGAGCCACCTATAACCCCCGGAGACTTAATATTCCTTAAAATTTCTAAGCCTACAAGACTACAACCAAGATGGGGTGGCCCCCACTTGGTGGTGCTCACAACTCCCACAGCTATCAAGGTCGCTGGCCTTCCATCTTGGTTCCACATCACCCAGGCAAAGAGGTGCCCTAGCAACCCGGTCACTCCAGGCTCCAAACCTTCAACACCAGAGTGGTCATCACAACTTTTGTCTCCTACCTATCTAAACTCACTAACACCTCCAGTAAGTTACCAAGGTAACCAATGTACTGTTACCCTCTCCTGCTCTTGGTTCTTTACCTACTACTCATTTTAGTGCTTGCTGTCGGACCGTGGACTGTTTGCCCAAGTGACTTTCAGGCACTATAAGCTAGCCGTTGTCCTCCTATACTTGATAATGGCCTTTGGGATCTCCATCCTCCTCTGTCTACCTCAGGCCTCACAAATATGATTCTGTCTCCAAGCCTCACACTACTCCTAACATTTTCCGTCTCCACTACACAAACACAACCTACCTACGCCATTACTCTCTTGCTATCTGACCAAGGGATAGTAGGTTCTCGCAATTTTACCCCTTCAAATCCCAAGGTTATCTTTCATGTTCCATACTTTCAAATGGTGCCCATTCAACATACCTGGGAAGCAGACAAGGGGATTCTAACCAATGGGCGACTGGACACACCTGGGTCCAGACACCAACAAACTTATGTGCTGGCCCCAAGGGACCATGTTGCCATCTGCATAGCTTATACATCATTCCTTGGCCTGCCACTTTTCGCCGGAGGCAATGTGTTGATACCAGCATTTTCTATCTTGACACTCTGGGTTGTGAGACCATAGATATAAGTTCAGGGGGACAAATACTAAAAGATGCAGATCCCCTCATCTCAGTCTGGTTTGTGAACTGGGGTGATAAGGTCAGGAGGGTAACATTTTCAATCCCTGATGCATTACATCCCCAACTTCTCCTGGGTAAGACATGGGGCCTCTCCTTTGATAATCATGGCAAAAACAGGCGTGGCAACTTTTAACCCTAAAAACCCAGCTGGTGATCCCACTTTCAGTAATAGATGTTCCAGCTTACACTTCCCTGGTCCTACAATCTCAGGACACTCCTCCTATTCCACAGCTTCTTTCACATACCTACGGCATGCTCTCACATTCCTCCAACCTCACAGAATGTTGGCTCTGTGTCCCTTATTGGCAGGACCTATACATGACAGCTCCTGCACACTGAAATTCCTCACACCTGTCCTTTCTGCATAATCCAGCCATAGTAGGCTCACTGCGGATCTATCGCTCTCAACAGTGGCCAGTTAACCTCACCTACCTGATCTCTCAGGTCAAAAATACCTCTTTACAGCTAAATGACCTACCTCACTGTGCACGCTATGTTACACACACAAGACAGGGCTATCTGTCCACCAAAGAGATGGTTTATAGGATGCAAAAAGGGAGCATACACTTGTCTCTCTCCAAGGTGGACAGATCATGCACACTGGCCCTCTTAGTCCCTGCCCTAACAATAAATTCTCAAGATACCAAAAAAATCACTCCTATCCCAATCTCCAGATATTCACCTAAACCACAAAACTAGGGTTGTTCATGCCCCCATCCTTATAGGAACAAGCATTTTTGCAGTATTAGGAGTAGCCATGAGAGCGGGAGGAATAGGTATGGGCATACACGCTCGATAGCTATACCACCAGCTCTCCCTAGAACTTCATCAAAGGATAGATGATATTACACCTGCCATATGTTCACTTCAAAATCAGGTTAATAGTCTTGCAGCAGTCACTCTCCAAAATCGACATGCCCTTGATATCCTGACAGCTGAGAGAGGAGGCACCTGTGCTATGTTGGGTGAAGAATGTTGCTACTTTGTAAATGAATCTGGGATTGTTATGGACAAGGTAAAAAATCTTCACACCTGGCTTGAGCATAAATGCTCAGAGCTAAAAAACTATCTCTCCCTCCCTACACCATGGTCCTGGTGGAATGACACATTTGGGTCATGGGCACTGTTCTTGCTACCTCTTCTGGGCCCTATAATCATGATAATAACCTGTTTATTTGTAGGGCCCTGCATTTTTAAGCTTTTGTCTAGTTTTATTTAATCCAGGCTTCATGCAATCACAGCCAACGAACTCGTCACTTTGGCAGACATCCCCAACAGTGACATTCACGTAGGCCACACCCCTCGTCCCCTCACCCCCTATCATGGCCACACCCTTATTCAGCAGGAAGCAGTGTAAGAGGAGTCATCACCCCCTATAACCAAAAAGATGGGGATGATGGGTTTCTTCGCTCATTATAATTCCTTTAGAGTCACTGTGGCACCACCTACTGGAGGCTATGTGCCATGGCCAGTATGGCACTGTCCACTAGAGGCTATGTGCTAAGCCCCACCCTTCTTCATCTGAGTTGAATTAAGACTTCCTACTCCCCTTTGTAGTGTCCTCTTTCATTTTCCCACACTCCCACCCAATGCTAGCATGCCACGTCAGCTGGTCCACCCCCTAAACCCCGCCTCCAGCCTGGCCATATTTAACTATCGTTCTCCCAGCCAGGCCCCTCAGAAGCTCCACCACCTCCTCATTCCTCCCATCTGTGGTTTTCTTGGTGCCTGCAATAAAGGCATTTTATTGTTTTATTACTTTCTGCGCTGACCGAAACCTGTCAAGTACCACATTTTGCCTTCAGTAATTGGGTTAATTAGTTCATCCTGTAGGCCCTCCCCCAACTTTTTCTGTTGTTTTAGAGACCCAAAATTGCCAGGTGGCAATCTCATCTTCCATGTATTGGAACTGTTAATTGCTGTCTGGAAGAGCATTTCTTACTAGAGACCAAGATCTCCAAACTTGGAGAAATCTAAATCACTGCCATTGGAAGCAGTTTCTTCAGTGAACCAGTTTCACCTTCATCTATCTTTGAATCTGGTTTTTTGGCTTAGGAGTGTTGGGAGCCGCTGGAGATGGAAATTGGTCATATGTGTGAGGGCAGGACAGAGCCAGAGTGCCTCAAACAGTCGAGATACCTTAGTCTTGAGAAAGACATCCTGCCTGGACAATTACAGTTGTTAGTCGCTAGGCAACAGTACCTCTTGTGACACTAACTTTGCCAGAGTATAAATAAACGGCCCTACTGTTGAAGTTAGGTCCTCTCGCCAATCAGATAAGAGGTCACCTCCACTTGACAATCATTAGTCCCTTGTCCCTTCTGAGGGCTGCACCACCACTGATCTAATTACTTTGCACTAGGCCCCAGTTCCATCATCTAAAGCAGGACTAAGCCTCCAGCACATGAACCTTTTGGGGACAAAACATAAAAACCATAGCATTATATCCCAAGGTAAATGCAATCTCACTTTGGAAAATGCCTTCATTCCCTTGCCTACAGTCCCAAAGTCGTTTCAATCTAGTAGTTTTCGGAATGTTCTAGGGTCAACAGTATCACTGCTACTCTTAGAAATGTACATTCTGGGCTGAGAATGTAGCTCAGTGGCATAGGCTTGCTAAGCACGCATGAGACCTTGCAGTTGAACCCCAGCAACACACACATACATATAATCCCCAAAGTAAATGGCTATTAAATAGAAAAATAATGTTCTGAGACTCTTCCTTTGACATACTAAGTCTCAATATCTCCTTTTGGGTCCTGTTTAACAGGTCTTTCTGATGAATTTTTATCCACTCTGAAGTTGAGAAACAATGGTGTAGTAAGTATACCCTGAGAATGAAAATCTCACATGGACTGCCATTTCCTAGTTCACAAAAAGTCTTTATGCTTTTTAAACGTGTATTTCAGCCAGTACGTGCATGTCAGGGTTTAGAATTAACTTACCTCTTTAGAGCAAAGAAAGCAGGGGTATTTTGATCTGTTTAGACATGGTTTCACTGCTTTAGTTAGAAATATTTTTAAGCCTGGATTGTGGTAGTCCTAACTACTTGAGAGGCTGAGATAGCAGGATTGCAAGTTCAAGCCTCAGCTGGGTAACTTAGTGACTTAGTGAGACCTGCCTCAAAATAAAAAAAAAGACCGAGGATATAGCTCAGTGTAAAAGCCCTAGCACTACCAGAAACAAACAAAAAAAGGCTTTCCAAAAACCTTGATATAAATTGAAAATGAAGATTGTGATACTAATACTGGTACAGAAAAAATATTGTGATCTAATACTAAACTGACATAGATTTCTAATGGAATTTACTGTTTATGAAACATGAAATGTCAAATCAGTAAGTTAAATACCAAAACCGCCATGGAGGCCGTCAGTCCAACCCATCTGGCAATATGGCACACAGATGCAAAATAAAGACAAAGTTCTGCAGCTAGGAGCTCTGGGATGAACAGTATTCTCTGCAGAACAAAAAGACACGAGTCCAAAAGCTCATGGCTTTTACTGGTATCAATCAGGGAGGTGGGTGGGGTTTGTGCCAGAGTGCTAGGGAAGAGAAACTTTGTAGGCATTGGCTGAAAGGAGAAACAGAGCCATTTTGTACCAGGCACAAAGGTCCTCCAGTTAGCAACACAACAGATAGTTTGATGTATGGAAGACTGACACTTTTATTGTCAGGAAGGTATAATTCTTTCTGAGTCCAGGGGCCTCGGCTGAGATGTTATTGCATGTTTTAGCCTGGAATCTCACAGGCTTTTGTTCGAGCCTCCATTCTAGTGGGGAGTGCAATTCTCGCCTAGACTTGGGCCAATTAATAGAACAACTGGTTCAATATAGCCAGCTCTGCATATCTCACTGAATACGGCTGAAGTAAATGTCAGGGAAAGATGGAGGCAAGGGGCTTCATTTTTCAGGGGAATGCAGCTTGGCTGCCTCCCAGCCAAAGACAGTTTATCAATATCAAGTGGTGCCACAGTAATTGGCCATCTTTCCGAAGGAAAAAAAAATAAGATCTACTATCACAAACAAACATTGGCAACGAACAAACATGTTTGGCAAAACATTCCGTGAAGCTGAAAAATATAAATGTTTAAATATTGGGTCTGTATGCCCAGCTACTTGGGATGGAGACTTTTTAACGCAAGGCAGAAAACCCAGAAATTACTGAATACAAATCCCTTTGGCTAACAAATATTTTGTGCAGCTAAAGATGAAAAACGAATACCAAAATATGAATACACATTCATACACATTTGATAATGCACATGAATAATTTTAATAAAAGTCATAAATCAATGTTTAAAGTAACTTTAATAATTGCATGAAGACCAGCCACCAAAAACTACAGCAGAAGTGATTACCAGAGAAACGTCATAGAAACATTCTAGCCTAAGTGCAGAATGTCTAGTGTCAGTGTTATTTGACAAGGGAGAATGGAGTCAGGCTGGTGGTGCAAGCCTGAAATCCCAGCACTCTGGGAGGCTGAGCCAGGAGGAGCTTGAGTTCCAGCCAAGCATGGGCAACTCTGTCTCAAAAAAAAAAAAAGGCTAAGGCTAAGGCTAAGGATTGATCCCAGTGTAAATTCCCTGGGATCAATGCCCAGTACCAGAATGGGGGTAGGGAGTAGAATGGGAGGCTCTGAATTTAAGGTAAAATCCAAGAAATAAAACTGATTTTATTTTTTAAACCAGGGGCTTGGTGCATGGTGGGCAAGTACTCTACCACTTAGCCACAAAAATACATTTTGAAGAAGAAAGAAAAATTCAAATTTACAGAAAATATCAGTACAACGGAAACACAAAAGAATCAACTACAGTGGATCCTCAAGTTACAACCGGCCTGACATACAAACAACTTGGACTATGACTAGAATTTTAGTTTTAACTTACTCCCAAAGTCTTGAGTTATGACACAGATGTACTTCCTGACTGTCTCAGATACAGATTTAACCCTTAAAGACTTCTAGAGGGAACATTACAATATCCGTTCCTGTATGAGGTTAATTGAGAAATCCGGGGCCAATATCTTTCTAAGGACACTGAGATTTGCCCGTGTCAGGAGACTTTTTTTTTGTACTGGGAATCGAACTCAGGACCTTGTGCTTGCCAGGCAGGCGCTGTGCCACTGAGCTATAGTCCCCGCCCAGGAAGAGGCTTTGAAGGCTGTGGAGCGCAGCCTGAGCCTTCACTTGACAACTTGACCAGCTAAAGTGTTCACCGTATTTAGAGTTTAGCAGTGTCCAGGTAAATAAATAGAAATAAGGGGAAATGAAGACCTAAAGAATGGATTCATTGATGGACTGATTGGAAGAGATCACGCCATGCCCTGGAAGCCTTGTTAATAAGAAAGAATCACTGTTAGGGCTTCAGGAAAGAGGAGGGAGTCAGGCAGAACAGCTTTTTTTGGCCCACGTCCGCGTGGGCGAGCTCCCAGCTCCAGCCCCGCCCTTGGGAATGGGCCCCGCCCACAGGCTTGTCTCTAACCTCAACCTGCGCCTCTCAGGTCCTGTTTCTGCCTCAGGCCCCGGGTTGAGTCTACCCCGGGGACTAGATGCGCCCTGGAAGGAAGAAACTTTAATTTCACAGCTTGCAGGGGTCCAGAGCGCCTCGGGCCCAGCCGCGGAGCCCGGGGCCCCAGCGGGAGCGTGCGAGCGGAAGTGACGTCACGCCGGCACCCTCTCTTCCGGTCTGGTGGCCGGTTGTCAAATTCCTTCCTTCTCAGTGGTCGCTGCGCCCGTTGCATCTCTGCTGAGGCCGGATAGGGGCCTTGCCGGCGGCGGGAGGGGGCGGCGGGCGCCCGAGCGTGCCCAGGGCCGCCGCGCACCCCCGTGGGGGAGGCTGGGTCGCTCCGGCCGCGTCCTTCTTCGCCTGCAGGTCCCCGGCCCGCCGGCCGTCTCGGGGGTCGTCGCAAGGGCGCCTCAGGGGGTTTGCATCTGGCGACTCCCTTTGCAGAAGCCTCCAGAGCCGTCTGTGTGGTTTTATTTTCCAGAAGGTAAAGAATTTGAGACCGTCCTCGCGGAGCCGGCGTTGCGGGCTTCGGGCGACCTGTGTCCTGTGAGGGCGCGCGGCAGGCCCGGCTTTGGCTTTTCACGGCCTGTGTTTATTTCAGACACATTGCATGCAGGCAGAAAGCCACCTTTCGTAAGTGTCTAGGATGTGCCTCTTTTGGTGGAGACTGCAAGCCATTCTGCCGAAGGAAAACAGTACTGTACTGTCCTGTTCTCTCCATCGGAAGTGCCTAGGCCTAGGCCTTCCCACCGAACTTCCAAACAGCGATCTGTGGGAAGGAAAGATGGGACTTTGTTCCATAACAGTGTTTTAATTTGTCATTTCCAAAAAAACCCCTTTTTTGGTGAGCTGTTTGAAAAAATGTAATTTTTGCAAAGCGCTGACTTGCTTATTAAGCATACTTGGTAACGCATCTCTTCAAATTAAAAATAATGTTCTGAATATAGAGCCTGTGTAAGAAAGTAAAAGTCTGCACATTGTTCCAGCATGTATTTTGGGGTTATTACGTTCTCGTACAATTGGAGGCTTATGTATTGTAGGTTGTTTTAGGTCTTTAAGTCTCTGACTCCTGTTTTTCGGTTCTGTTTTCATTGGAAAATTCACATATTCTGTGAGGAACTCATACATTCTGATTGTATTCTTCCAGAATGTTTAAATGTTTTCTCCATTTGTTATATTTTCGGAAAATTGATGGGTGCCTGAGTTCCACCTGATGATGTTCTTAGGAGCTTGTGGAGAAAGCTAATGTGTAATTGAGAAAGTAAATATGTCATTATAAATTGATAAAAGCTTGCAAGATAGAAGACAGTGTTAGTTTCTTTTGTCTTTGGGGGAATATGTGAAGCTAAGACAAGAGTAATTAACCCAAGCCCAGAAAACAAAAACAATAGGGTGTAGGAGTCAGCCAGGCTGAAAGAAAAGGAAGAAAGGGAATAGGAGATGGTGAACACTTTCTATGGACTGGCAGTTTAAATTTGTGGAGGAGACAAAGGAGAGTGTGTTAGGGATTGTTCCTTGGTTTGATACTAGAGTCATTTTTTTATGTTTGGGGGAAAAAAGATGGAGAATGAATTTATTCTTCAGTATAGGACAGGAAAAGTGTGATATTGTACCAGGGCCCCTCCCAAAGGAATCCAGTGAGGGCCTTTTCAGAACAAAGAAAGGCCACATGACACAATTAGTTCCTCGATATGCATATGTAATTCTAGCAGAGCTCTGTAACATAGATTGTATCTAATCAGGCTGTAATATGTTAGTGTGTTACTATTTAAGGGAGACAAAGGCAGAAAAATTGTATAAAAGGCGAAACGCCCCCATGATCGGGGCACAGCCACTGAGGCCTGTGCCAGCACAAATAAAGTTTCTTCCTGGAAAGAAAAGTCTCGGTATGCCATCTTTCTATATGAGAATCCCACTACATTTCCTGTTCAAAAGATGTAAGTTGAGATAAAATAGGATAAAGCATGAATGTGTTTTAATTTTCACACATAGGAAATTAACTTCATAAACATAATTTTAGGTGAAATAATCTGGGCCCCAAAGAATGCCTGCCCTTCCCCAAGATAGGTGTTTAGTGATCAAATAATACATTTGTATTTATCTATTGATGCCTAACAAATTGAAAGTTTAAAATTGCACACATTTGTCTCATAGTTTCTTTGAATTAGGAATCCAGATATGGTTTGGGTGATAGGGTATCTGCTCAGGACTTTACTTGACTGTAATCAAGACACATTAGGCCCTAGTCTCGTGTAGCTTAACTGGGAAAGCTTACAAAGGGAGAAATCTGTTTCTGTATGCACTCAGACCAAGGACAAAATTCATTTCCTTGCAGCTACAGACTTTGTGGCTAGAAGCAGTTCTTGCCACATTGCCCCTTCTTTATGCTAGCTAGAGGAGTGTCAGAACCCGTGTCAAAATTTGCAGTTTTAGAAGTGGGCATGGTAGTTTCTGCCTACCATGTAATCTCAGCACTCAGGAGGTGGAGGCAGGAGGATCGCTATGAATTCAAGGCCAGCCTGGGCTACGTAGTGAGTTCAAGTCCGGCCTAGAATACATAGCAAAACCCTGTCTCAAACAAAACAGAAAACAAACAAAAAATAAAAGCAAACTTGAAATTTTATTTTGGGGACTATAAAGTGATAATTCAGTAAAGCATATGTAAAGACTATTGGTATTGTGTATGACCAAAAGGAAGCAGAGGTGGGCTAGTGGGGAAGGTGGGAGGAGGAGGGTAGAAGGCTTTTTGTAAGTAGATGGTCCTCTTAGGATGCAAAGGTTTTTATGTGGGGGAGGTGCTTCCTGTGGAAAATAATAATCTCCATTAATTTTAGTTACCTATACCAGATTTTCCTTTAGGTGTGGATATGTGGAGGTGTGCATTTGTTCAGAGAGTAAGTAGTATACCAGGCACGTGGCCTAAGCAGACAGTGAGTTTAGGAGGAAAAGCAAAACAATTCTGTGTTTGTTTTGTGTCAGAGACATCGCTGTATGGAGATCTAAGTGTGATGCAAGAATTTCCAACAGCAGGTTTCTGAGTTGAGGTTCTATTGTCTGAGGTGATGGCATACTTAATGGTGATATTTTGAGCCAGGATGGAATCACCTGGTGTGTGAGATTGAGGTATCCTTTTTAAGGAGGTACCCTTTGTAGTGGCTTTCTGAGTTGTAAACTGATGCAGTACAGCACCTGAGCCACTAGTGGTAGTAACACCGACAGTTAATAGAATGATGTTTAGCTGTACTTGAGAGAATTTTTTGTTTGTGGTATTACTTTGATTTTTTGGAGAAAGTTTAGAAATACTTAGGTTCTTTTAGTAGTGACTGAGGATTGACCTGGTAAATCTTTGCTTTGTGGTTTAAGTATATTTTGTGTATTTGTCAGGTGAGAGATTCCCAGAGGTGTTTTTTTTGTATTTTGTTTTCTTTAACCTTGAATGAGATAGATTTTAGGTAACGATTCAGTAACTTCTAATAAATGCAGAGATGAGGGCATTTGTTGACCAGGGCTTTTAGTGCTAAGATGCCTGCTTGAGGTTTCTTGGATCCTCCTGTCTGTTACTAGGGACATCCTCATGGCTGGAAAGCACCTACTCTTCACTAAACTCCATCATATACATAGTCTAGGAATTCCCATGATTGTTCAGTGAGTTAATCTCGGGGCTTTCCAGGTAGTCAAGGTGCCTAGAGGAGACACATATTCCTCTGTGGAATCTTGTGAGAGACTAAGGGCAGGGGAGTCATTGTCCCCTGCAGGTGGAATATACCCAGTGATCCCTATTAGGCTCAGTGATATGGGCTTTAGTGTCCATGCAAAACATATGGGTGGTATTTCCATGGGCCAGAGTATAGTGGAAGCTAGGTCATAGACTGTGGGTCTGTGAGGGCCTCTGCAATGGGCACATGAAGGCTCAAAGACTCCAGGAGATACTGAGAGTGATTCCCAGAGCCACTGCCTTAAAAGAGGAGTTTTTGTTACTTTTTTTCTTTTTTGAAGGTATTAACAGGAGGATCTGTTGGTTTTAGTTTGGGTGTAAAATTTGTAATGAGGAGTGTAGTCACAAGAACCTGAATGTACTGGATGGTATTGAAATTAGATGTCCTTCATTAGTGTCGTCAACTGAATCTTCTTGGAGAAGCATATTACCAGTGTAGTATCACATCTGTGTTCCTGTAGAAAGTGGCTGTCCCTAAGATCTTTTAAAAATGTATGATGACAGATCTTTTGGGTAGCTGGAAAAAGTATTGTGTTTCTTTGGAGGTGAAGCAGACTGTAGCTTAGAAGCTGGTGAAATAGGCACTCGCTGGGCATGGTGGTGCACACCTATACTCACAGCACTTTGGAGGCTGAGGCAGGAGAGTCACCGTGAGTCAAAACCAGCCTGGGCTGCATAATGAGCTCAAGGCTAGCCTGAAATACATAGCGAGACTCTGTCTCAAAAAAACAAAAACAAGGGGCCGGGGATATAGTTGGGGCCAGGGATATAGCTCAGTGGTACAAGTGCCTACCTGGCAAATGCAAGATCCTGAGTTCGAGTCCCGGTATCCACACACACATATACAAGCAAAAAAAAAAAAAAAAAATAGGCACTGAATACAACATGTTAACCATATTTACAAAGCCTAATATTTACTCCATGTTGGATGGATACAATCTATAATTTCAGTAATATTAGTTATGGGCCCTTGATGGATTGGCTCACCATATTAAGGTTGTGGGAATCCATAACAGGGTACTTCTGTTTTCAGATTTAAAAACAGAGAAAATGAAGCTGACAAATGTAAAATAATATAGTTACCCCTCGATGAACTGGATTTTACGTGTTTCAATCCTTGAAACCCTATTTTTACTTATATTGAGTCTTCTTAACTATTTTATTTGGGGATCCAAGGGTCCCATATTTCAAGCCTGTGTGTGGGTGCTAAAGTCTTATTTAATAATCATTATTTGTGTGTGTATGTGTGTGTGTGTGAGAGAGAGAGCGAGTGAGCAAGCGAGAGAGAGAGTTGGTACTGGGGATTGAACCCAGGGGTCTTCTCACTTAGCTATATCTCTAGCCCTTGTTTTTTTCTTTTTCTTTTTTGTTTGTTTCTTTGTTTTGAGACAGGATCTTGCTGTGTCACTAAGTTGCCCTGTCTGAACTTGAACTAGGATTCTTCTGTCTCAGTCTCCCTGAGTGCTGGGATTACAGGCATGTGCCACTAGGCCTGACTTATTTTGCTATTTCTTATGTTAAGAGTGTTAGAGCCCAAAGTGGAATTTCTAGTAAAATGGAAGCTATGGAAACTTTAAACAAGGACACAGTGTTGGGAGGCATACACCTATTGTTTTCTTTTGTATTTAGTTGTTTAAGATTTTAGGAGGGACAGTATTTAAATTTAGTGGGATTTTCAGGTATAAATATATTTTGAGCCTAAATATATACAATTTGAGCCTAAAATTGATCAAGCTGATTGTATTCTATTGTAATCTATTCTATTCTATGGTACATTTTAGCTAATGTGAAGTTAGAGTCTAGTTACCATTTTTCCGTGTCTGATGTCTTTATTTTAAAACCTCTAAGTAATCTGATCTGAGCAGCATTGTATTACATAATGGTGTTTGCTCCGAACTTAAAGCTTTAAAGTCCTTTCTTATTTTTTTTTCTTCCTTGGACTGGTAGCTCCCTAAAGCTGAAAGCCTCTTCCCTTTCTTTTTTTTCCTTTCCCTCACCCCTCATTCCCTCCCTTCTTTCCTTTCTTGGCTTAGACTTTGAGCTGCTTGAGGTGGTAGTGTTTTTAGCTTTTGTCCAGTTGATAAGAGATAAGAAGTGGAGGGAAGGATGGCCCCATACCTCTAGAAAGTCTTTTTCTCTTTGGGATATACAGACTTTCTTTTTCCTTTCCTTTTCTTTTTTTTTTTTTTTTTTTCTCTTTTTGAGACAGGGTCTCGCTGTGCATTTCAGGTTGGCCTTGAGCTCACTTTGTAGCCCAGGCTGGTCTCGAACTCACAACAATCCTCCTGCCTCAGCCTCCCAAGTGCTGGGATTATAGGTGTGTGCCACCATGCCCAGCTCTCTTTTTCCTTTTCAGTAAAATCTTTATAATGTCTTATATTTCCAGGTAACCAAAATATTTTCTCATCTCTCTTCTGAGTGGGGTTCCCTTATTTCCGGGGCAAATCAAGTATAACTTTCTGATCAGTAGCCTGGAAAGCTGCAGGCTGAATGGGCGACCTCATCTGCATTGTTGAGTGTGTCCTTGTGTCCTTGCACTTGGGACAAATCAGCAATTAGTTTTCCTCCTAAATGTCCTTCCTGAGAGTCCTCCAGTGCTGCTGCTTGTGGTCTGAGCTGCTGTGTCAGTGGCCATTTTTCTGCTATATTCCTTGCTACTGTTGCTTTCTTCTCCCAACCCTGTGGGTTATGGGAGACCTCATTCATGGTGGACTTGATGGTGATTCAGTGTGAGGAAGGAGGAGACTTTTGATCCCTGTCCCCCTAAGACACTTGAACGTGTTTTTAAGATCATTTGTAGTAACAAATCTGGTTGATGTGTTTGGGTCCTTTTATGTGCTGCTGCCTGTTGTCATGCTAAGTATTTCTTGCTTTAAATTATTACCAAGTAAAGAATTTGGCTGGGGATATAGCTCAGTGGCACAAGTGCCTGCCTGGCAAGCACAAGGTCCTGAGTTCGATTCCTGGTACAAAAAAAAATCAAAGATTTAAAAGACAAAATTGAGGACACTTGTTCTCCTTGGTGTTGACCTCAGCCCCTCTGGGATTGATTGGGACCCTCTGAGAGGCCACTGTCAGCCAGTGTGGACCCCCAGGAGCTTGTCAATTAAACATCCAAAGAAAGGAGAGAATTTCAGTTACCTAGAGATATATGTCATTT